ATAGTCTTTTCTTGTCAAGTTGCTCTAGCTAGGACTTCCAATGTCTTAGTGAATATGAGTAGTGATAAGGGGCTTCCTTGCCTGGTCGCTGTTTCCAAGGGGAACAAGGGAAAATTTCCAAGTTTTAGTGTCTCTCCATTGAGAGTGATATTGACTCTTGTTTTTGTGTATATATTTTTAGCAGCATTGAGGACATTCTCCTCAATTCCTGTCTTGTTTAATGCTTTAAAGAGGAAGGTATATTTTCCGTGAATTGATACAAACACGTTGTTCCTTTCCTTTCCTTTTGTTGTGATGAATTACATTAATTTTTTTCTTAGATCATACTTGCATGCCCATAATAATCTCACTTGACAATGATAAATTTTTTTAACATAAGGTTGGATTCTATTGGCAAGAATTATGTTAAAGAATTTTACTACCATAAGTGATTGGTAGAATTCAACAGGAAAACTGTCTGGGCTGAGGCTTTTGTTGTTGGGAGATTTTTGATGACCTGCTGAAATTCTTACTTTGTGGTCTGTTTGTTCTACTTCTGTATTTGTCAATATGAGTCAATTGTGGGATTCTATGAATTTGTCTACTTTCTCTAGGCTGTAAAATTTGTTAGAGCATAGCTTTTCACAATAGGCTGTCATTATAACTTTAAGATTGTTCTATTTTGGGTTAAAAGAAAACCTAATGATTGGGAACAAACATTTGGCAATACCATCTCATACAAGAGTCTCATAATGAAAGTCTGTAGAACACTCCTAGGCCTCCACAAGAAAAAGACTGATAAACCAATCAAAAAATGGGCAAAAAAACATGGAAAGAATTTTCACAGTGGTAGATATTCAAATGGTCAAAGGACACCTGAAGAAATGCTCCAAATCACTGGCAATAAGAGAGATGCCAACCAACAGCACAGTGAGATTACCATCTTACATCAGTAGTCATGGCAACATTTAACAGGACAGCAAGTATTATATGCTGGAGAGGATGTGGAGAGATAGGAACCCTTATACAATGTTGTTGGGACTGTAAAATGGTACAGCCACTCTCGAAGAAAATTTGGTGCTTCCTCAAAGAACTGAACATAGAATATCCATTTGACCCATCTATTCCATTGCTTGGAAATACAGCAAGAAAATGAGAACTGAGGCTCAAATGGTGACTTTTACACCAGTATTCATAGCATCGCTATTGACTATTGAAAGAACATTGAAACAGCCCAGATATCCTACCACAAAAAAATTGACTGAGAAGTTGTGATGCATTCATTCAATGGACTACTACACAGCATGCAGAAGCAAGGGTTTTGTAAATTACTACCTAACATGGGAAAGACAGGAGAGTAATATGCAGAGTGAACTAAAACAATCCCACAATGACAAATACTGTATAAAATAATTATTACAGAATGAGTATGAGTATGAGAGGTGGGGGAGGGTAGAAGCAGAGCGGTTAAAATTGGCAGGGAAGAGGCAGGTGCTAATCATAGGGTTACACAATTTGATGGGTGGGCAGGGTGAAGGATATGAGAGTGATCTTGTGTGACAGACAATGTTTTCAAACTGTTAATAAAGCAGTCTAAAAGAAAATTTTTTAAAAAGTTATGAAAGAAAAAGGATTGCTCTGTTTTGATAGCAGAGTTTAAATTTTTATTCGTCTGTTCCTTTTCTTTCTTTTAAATTTTCCAATGATTTGTCCCTTTATTGTCCCTTTGGAAGAACCAGCTCTTGGTTGTGTTCACTATTTCACTTGCTTTCCTGTATTCTATTCCATTAAGTCTAGCTCTTATCATCATAATTGTCTTCCTTCTAGAGTCTGTTGAGTTAGTTGGTTGTTCTTTATCAATTTGTTGGAGGTATTTGCTAGAACTTTTTTTTTTATTCCTTTCTTCTTTTATTGTGTTTGCTGATTACTATGATCTGACCGCTGAAGAATACCATTACTACATCCTAGAAGTTTTGGTAGATAGTATTTTTATTCTGATTTCTTTCAAATAACATTTTTGTCTTACTTTGTATTTCTTCTATAACTGGGGAGTGATCAAACAAAATGTTAATTAGATTTTATGTGAGCTATTTAATATATCCTTTATCCTCTTGATAATTTCTAGTTTGATCCACTGATATTTATTGTCAATTAGAATAGGCATATGGAATAAAGCAAGTTCAAGGAGAACAGCACTGATTTTGCAGATAAGGAAGAGTTCTTAGTGGGTTCACTGTCCTGTCTCAGGTCCTCACCATTTGTGAAGGGCGATCCAAGTGCTGTGCTTACATGGGTACATAAGAGATCTGGACACACATGTTATTTTGGGGAATCCCTTCTTTTTCTATATAAGAGCCCCCTCAGTGTATGTCCATGAAAACTACAACTTGGAAGAAACATTAGAAAGTGCAAACAGAGTTACTCTAACTGAAGTCAAATATGGGCGATCTTCCTATCACACTTTGGACATGTTGTTAGGAGAGCCAATTCCTTGGAAAACAACTTCCTGCTTGGAAAAGTTGATGGTCAACAAGGAAGATGAAGACCATCAACGAGATGGCTTAATACAATCCATGTGACAATGAACTCAAGTATATGGATGTTGTTGAGAATAGTGGTTAATAGAGAAGTTTCATTTCTGTTAATCATAAGTACATCCATCATACTTAACTCAATGATAATTGCAAATATAGTAACAGTAGCAAAGGGGAATAAGCAGTCTTCTAAGAGCAACTCATCTTCTGAGTTTATAATGTATTAGTAAGCAATGATCTGTTGTTTCAGAGACCTGGGGCAAGTCAGATCTCAGGGAGGATTCCAGAAGAATCCCTTCCAGCATTAGGAGAACAAGGAAGTGCTAGGGAAACCTGTCTGACTAAGCCTGCCTTGGACACGTATACTCTTTCTCCATGCTATAAAAGCACACAGGCCTCATGCTGGTCAAGGATCTCCACCAAGCTGTCCTGCTGCCACTGGTAAGAAACAGAGGCCATGTTAGGAAGAGCAATGGCTGGGTGATGCCTGGGTCCCCATTCACCCCTCTGATCTTGTAGACCCACTGCCTTCATATGAGTTTGTATTAATACCTTGAACTGAGGAAATGTCAACAAGGAAGAATGGCTAGAGGGAGGATGGGGATTGGGAGAGCACAAACACAGGGCTCAGTGTTTTTCTTTGTAAAGAACTATATTATTCTCTCTGACCTTCTATTAGACTTATTTGGGGGATGTGAAAGAAGGCGTCTTGAAAACCCTGTAATTTTTGAACAAAACCAACTCATTGCCTTCTGGTGAGAGGCATAGGAGACGATATCCTTCATACTCCCTGGTGTCAACTGGTAGATTCCAAACCCATTCCTTTGATATGGTAACATAACTTCTTGCTACTGGAGTGATATAGTAATAAGAAGATGCCCTGTTTTCCCAAAGGGATGTCGTTTGAATCCACCAGCAGTTTCGTGGCAGAACCATAGGTGAAATCTTCTATGTGATTCACAAATTTCTGCACCCCAAATGGAGGATCAGCTGTGTGTAAAGTCCATCTCAACACCATTCAAGAAAAATAATGAGCTACCAGTATGAGAAAGTGATAGAAATTTCCCTTCATACTCTTATGCTTCAAGGCGTGTGCATCACTAGTATTGCTCTTAGCCTGTATTTGGGGAGGCAGTGAAGACTTAATTGAGCTGCAAAGGCCAGTGCTTAGCCATTAGAGGCCACAGGAGACTTGCTGGAGCTAGTCAGGGCTCTGGGCACACATCAGAAGGGACCCAGAGATGTTAAATACCATGTCTGGAAAGAATAACTACAAAATCATGGGATGCAGAGAACCAGGTGTTGGTCTGCCTTACCAGGTAGATTTCCAGGTTGTATGCCTAACCGACTTTTAGGAAGCTCAGGTAGCATAATGGTTAAGTCTTCTTTCCAATCCAAAGGTAAGTGGCTGGAATTCATTGTTCCTCTGAGGAAGAAAGAGGGGGAATTACCACCTTGCAATTACAGCTTATAAAATCCCCCTGGATGCATCATAATTTCTCAACCCATCTATTGTGGTTGACATTTTGGCTATTTCCATGTTATTGTAAAAGTGAATAATGATGATGAATATTAGTGTATAAGTCTCTTTTTGTGCCTCAGCTCTCATTTTCTCAGGGTATATTCCAAGCAGGGAAATAGCTAAGTCATACAGAATTTCTCTGTTCAGCTTTCTAAGGAAACACCAAACTGCCTTCCAGGGAGATTGTAACATTTTATAATCCCAAAACCAATGCATAAGAGCTCTTACCTGACCATATCCTCTCCTAAGTTTATTACTTGCTGTCCTGTTAAACTTTGTCATGGCTACTGCAGTGAGATGGTATCTCATTGTCATTTTGATTTGCATCTTTCTTATTGCCAGTGGTTTTGTATATTTAACAATGGTCTACTACACAGCATGCAGTAGCAATGATTTTGCAAATCATTACCTAACTTGGGAGGGAGTGAAGAGCATTATACTAAGTGAACTAAATGAGCCCTATAAGGACAAATACTATGTAATACCATTATTGGAGAACACGTATGAGGATCCCAGGGGGACAGGGTGAGAGCACAAGCATGAGACTAGGCAGGTGTGGGATGAGTGGGTGGTTGTTAAAACACAGTCACACAACTTGATGGGTGGGAATAGGAGTGGAAAAAGGAAATGAGCAAGATCTGGTGTGAAAACGATATAAATATACTTTGTCAATTAGTATAAAGTAAAATTATATTTTAAAAATAAATCTCACTGGAGATTCCCCTAAGAGTTGGTTCTGACTGTACTTATTGATTAAAGGGTTGTTGAAGACTCGTGGTCATGGGTGAGGGGAGAAGGACAGACTGCTGGCTTTTCTGAGTTAAGAAAAGAAAAATGAAGCTCCAGGTTGTTCCCTGGACTGGCTTAGCATGTCACTGAGCAGATGACCAGGAAAGAGCTCTTCAGTGTGTCTGGGTGCTACATGAAAGCTCAGGACTCTCTTCTGTGTCCCCTAGTCTGTGACCATGGAGGAGCTGTCCAGAGCCAATAATCACTTCACTCTGGATTTGTTCCATATTTTGAATGAGAAGGATCCCACGGGAAACATCTTCTTCTCTCCCTTCAGCATCTCCTGTGCAGCAGCCTTGGTCCTTGCTGGGGCCAAGGGCAACAGCGCAGCACAGCTGTCCAAGGTCAGTGACCCTACCCTTTACACTCTAAATTAGCTCCATGTCTGTCTTATGCAAAGCTGTGCTCTGTAGATCCTACAATTATTACTAAGTGTATTTGAGAACAACTACTGTATTTCTATGCCACCAAATATAAAAAGTTCAGACCAATGATCTGTGTCCTGGATTTAATTCATCTTCAAACCTTTGCTCTACAACTTCCAACTGATGGGTTTTGTCCAGGGATATCCCTGTCCTCTTTGGACTCATGCTCCTCACAAAGGTATTTTAAGAACTTTCCTGTCAGTCAGCCATATTCTCCTTGGCTAGGAAGTTAGGATTCCTGCTTTGCATCAGATAACACACTGACCATCAATAATACCACGCAATGTATTATTTCCTTGGAGCATGATCAGCAATATTCCTGAATCTTCTTCTTTTGTAACTGTCCTCAGCTTCCTGCCAGGCATGAATAAGATTATTTTTTTAATATATGTGTTTTGGTGGGACACTAAAACTAAATTTTCAGTCCCAGAAATAATGAGATTGAGGGAGGAAAATTGGTGACATTTTCTATGACTGAATACCTTCCCTCATATTGCCCTGCATTTTCTTTAGTTTAAGTTGTGCTATATTGAACATGTTGTTAACTGCAAATCATAGAGATCCAATGCACCATAGCTTTGAACCCTCCACTATCCTGAGCCAGTCTTATTGTTCACTACAACTAGCCCTGTTGTCTCAGTTACTGTATCAATTGATCTCTTCCTATAGCTTCCTATGTTAATCTGTTCTGTCACTCTCCAAGAATAATGTCCTTCTCCACGTACTTGTCTCTCCTGACAATATGCGCAACTTATATTAAAAGGGCAAAATCTTTGCCTCCAAAAAGCAACTTGACTTCACCCTCTTAAAATCAGAGCTGTTTGTTCTCTTGACAGTACAGGGTATGCTCAGTACTCTTCTCCAGCACCACTAAAGTATCTACATTTGTTTTGTAACTATTAGTAAGTTTTAGCTTTTGATGTATAGCAGGTAGTTACGAAAACCAAGACATGAATCAGGTGCACCACATTCACTAGACTGATATCCTTGCTCTTTAGTATTATGGTGCGGTCACTGACAGACTATTTTCTCAATGCAATTTGTCTTTTTATTTTCTGACCATCATGGAGCCAAAAGCTGAAATTGTAAACAATCTAATCGTTTCTCCATCTATCACGAAGAATCAACGAATCAATGAATTAATCTTTGGGTTTGGTGGTGTTTTTTTTC